CCCCCCCCCCCCCAAAAAAACCGACCACCGGCATCGCACCTGTGGCGCCTCCGGGCAGGCGGCGTCGCGGTCCTGAGTGCGCGTGGGTGGGTTCTTGCCCACGCCCACCGTCAGCGAGCGGCCCGAGTCGCCCAGGACGTAGCGGACCTGGGCCAGGCCCCAGCAGCGGTAGGTGAACACGGTGTCGGCCTGGGCGTCGCCCAGCACGTCGGCCAGGGCCAGCGCGGCAAAGGCGGTGTTCATGGTGCTGCCCAGGGAGGCGGAGAAGGCGTTGTAGGCGCGCCCCTTCTCCGTGTAGTTGGCGGCCATGTTGGAGCAGATCCAGGACTTCAGGTACAGCTCGGACTGGGTGAGGAAGGTGGCGCCCCCCGTCTCCTGCGCCAGCAGCACGTTGGCGGGCCAGAAGACGTTGTCCCAGTCGAAGGCGAACTTGAAGTCGGACACCGCGGCCTCAAACTCGAGGTGCTTGACGTAGTAGTCGTAGACGTCCGACAGGTAGGCGTCGTCGGCGGTGGCCTTGAACAGCCAGGCCGCGCCCCAGGCCAGGTCGTCGTAGAAGGTGGAGCTGTTGTACACGGCCGAGATGTTCCAGTCCTGGACCGAGTAGTAGCCCAGGTTAGCGGTGGAGGCCGCGTACACCGACTTGGCCTTGGCCAGCAGCGTGGCCGCGTAGGCCGTGTCCCCCGTCCCGGAGAAGACGACCGAGGAGGCGGCCAGCGCCGCGGCCACCGACCCGCCCAGATCCGAGGCGCCCTTGGCCATGTCCACCACGTAGGCGGGGCGGGGGGCGGTGATGTCCTCCAGCCGGCGCCAGAGCAGCTCCTCCTCCGCCACGCTGCCGATGCGCGACAGGATGTAGGTCGACCCGCCCACGGCCTGCACCGTCTTCAGCAGGTAGTCGCTGCCCCAGCGGATGTTGGACAGCAGGTCGTCGGCCGCACCCACCTCCGAGAAGGCGGCCGTGTAGGACTCGTAGCCCCAGGCCATGACCGCGGTGGAGAAGGCGATGGGCAGCGTGGCCTTCAGCGCGCCCGCGTCCATGCCCGTGACCCAGCCGCCCTCCAGGTCCCAGGGTCCCGACTCCAGCAAAAAGGCCTGGGGGATGACCACAGCGCCGCCGGGCGGGGGGGGTGGGGGCGGGGGGGGCGGCGGCGGCGGCGACGACCGCGGCGGCGGGAACACGCTGGGGAGGGTGCCGGGGGGCGGAGAAGTCAGGATGACAAATGGGTTGTCCAGCAGGCGGCGCCGGCCCGCGGGGGGCGGCGGCGTGGAGGTCAGTGGTGGGAAGACAATCGAGGGCGGGGGGGGAGGCCGCGGTGCTGGGGCTCGTCGCGACGCTGGGGCTCGTCGCGACGCTGGGGCTCGTCGCGACGCTGGGGCTCGTCGCCACGCTGGGGCTCGTCGCGACGCCGGGGCTCGTCGCAACGCCGGGGCTCGTCGCCACGCCGGGGCTGACCGCCGTCGCGGGGGGCGGGAAGACCGACAGGCCGGGCGAGAGCGAGCCGCTGGGCGTGGCGGCGGGGGGCGGCGGTGGGAAATTGGTCCCCTGGCTGCCGCTGACCGTGGAGTTGTAGGCCACCCAGACCACGCAGGAAGCCTCCTGGGTGAGCGCGGAGCCGCGCCAGGAGACGCCCAGGTCGTTGGGCAGCGCGCCGACGCGCTGGGTGTTCATGAACACCAGCGAGGAGTTGACGGCGGCGGGGAAGTTGTAGGAGCGCGGGTAGAGCACCCAGACCAGAACGATGCCGAAGATGGTGAGGAAGGTCATCAGCAGCATGCACACGCGGCACACGATGTTGAAGAAGGCGGGCCGCCGGAACAGCGCGTACTGGGGGGTGGGGACGAGGGTGGGGCGTGCGTTGAGTGGGTGGGTAGCGGTCGATGGGCGGTGGGTGGGTGGTCGGCGTGAGGGTGGCCGGCGCGAGGGCGTGTGGTATGGCGGTGGAAGCAGGGGTGGGCATGAGCGACGAGGCATTGGGCACCGATGACCGAGCCCCGAGCATCGCCAGGGGCAACACCCTGTCCTGAATGCACAAGCCCTGATCTTCACATCGAGCCCCGCCCACCGAGCCCATCACACACCTGGAGGAGGAGGTAGTTGGGCACCAGGTTCAGGGCCATGAAGATGAGGGAGATGACGAGGGGGGTCGAGGCGGGGCCGCGGCTGTAGTGGATCAGGCCGAAGATGAGGGTGACGATCATGGTGACGAAGAAGAAGGCGGCCATCCAGACGTCGCGCAGGGGGAGGGCGCCCATGCGCTGCAGGCCCTTGGCCGTGACCTTGAACACGATGGAGCCGTCGATGTAGCGGCCCAGGGTGGAGCGGTACATGGCCTTCAGGAAGGCATACCACAGGATGCAGTTGGACACGCCGGTGAACCACATCGACTGTGCGTGTTCAGGGGTAAGGGGAGTTGAGGGTTATGTGAGCCGGTGGGTTATGTGAGCCGGGTGTGGGCCGTCTGAGGTGCATGAGGCAGTGCAGAGCCAGCATCGACAAGGACGACGGTGCTGCACTCCTCTGATATTAAGGTCTAGTGAGCAGTCCCCCCCTCAAACCCATTCCCCCCCCAAAGAAAATCCCAACCTAACAACACACTGCCGCACCTTCAGATGCCCAAGGGAGTGGGTGTAGTAGTTGAGGAGGAGTGTTGCCCCATAGTAGACCGTGATGCACACCGCTGCCCAGAAGTTGATGACGATGGGGAAGGAGCCGAACCAGACGGTGATCATGGGCACCAGCATGAGCAGGGGCGTGCCCAGGAAGGCGGAGAAGTAGGCCAGGATGACCGAGCCGTACATCCAGCGCATAAGGGGGCTGAGCCCGCTCTGGATCACCGGGTTGTGGCGCGAGAAGAAGGTCTGGAAGTGGCCCTTGGACCAGCGCGAGCGTTGCTGGAAGCAATTGCGCACATCGTCGGGCGCCTCGCCGATGGCCAGGTACTCCTGCACGTACCGGCACTGCCAGTAGCGCCGCTTCAGCTCGATGCCCAGCGCGAAATCCTCGGTCAGCGTCCACTCCGGGAACCAGCCTGCGTCGGCGAAGGCACGCGCGCGCACCAGAAAGTTGGTTCCCGTGCAGGAGATCAGGCCCAGCGCGTCGTACCCGGGCTGGGTGTAGTCCCAGAAGTGCACGTTGGCGTGGTTGAACACGTCGCCCTCCGGGTTCAGATTGTAGAAGGTCTGCGGGCTCAGCACCATGCCCACGTCCTGCCCGCCGTCCAGCATGGGCACCATCTTCTGGTAGAAGTCGGCGTTGGGCACCTGGTCCGCATCAAACACGCACAGCACCTCGGTCAGGGGGATGGCCGCGCCGTCGCCGGGGTACAGCGCGCGCGCCGCGTTGTTGATGTTGGCCGACTTGCCGTTCATCTCGCCGGGCGCGCGCTTGCGCCCGGAGACATACACCGCGTTGGGCACGCGCAGGGAGTGGATGAACTTGCGCTTCTCGGGGTCGCGCCCGTCGTCCAGCAGGTACACCGTGCGCTGGCAGTTTGCGGGGACGGTGGCGAACAGGGCCGCCATGACCGTCTTGGACACCACGTCCAGCGGCTCCTTGTAGCACGGGATGAGCACGCGGATGTGGTAGGGCGCCAGCGTGCGCACCACGCCCTTCTCGTCGGGCGCGGGCGGGCGGCAGTTGACCACGCGCATCGTCAGGCACACCGCGTACGGCATCTGGGCCAGCCCGCCGATCATCTCCACGGCCAGCACCAAGATGCCATACCTAGGAGAGGGAGGTGTGAGAGGGAGTGGGGGGGAAGGGAGGTCAGTGAGGGGTGGGGAGTGAGGTTGGGGAAGGGCAAGAAGTGGGGGTGGGGAAAGGTCTGCGCCGGGTGGGGGACGCTCGCGCCGGCACCTAATCTCCCGGCCCGCCACAACCCCCCTTGGCCAGGCCAGCAAGACAGGGACATCCAGCCCCCACCTCCCCTCCTCCCCACCCATCCGCAAAACTCACCAGAGCAGGCTGCCCAGGCCCAGGGTGTACTTGATGCGGATGCCGACGTAGAAGAAGAAGGCGCAGAAGAAGATGACGGCGACGCAGGTGCCCCAGATGTTGATCTTGCGCTGCTTCTGCATGAAGGTGGGCACACCGTGGTCGCCGTCATCCGCGCCAGGCTTGGGCGTGGCGTCGCCGTCGCCGTCGCGGAGGGAGGAGGTGTGGGTGGCCAGGTCCACATACCAGGGGTGCACGGTGTCGCCTGTGGAGGTTCGGAGGTGGGGTGGTGGCTAAGGGGGGGGAGAAAGTGCATCGCACGAGCACAGGGTGGCGACGGGCGGGTGGTGGTGTTGATGCAAACGAGGGCCACCAGTTACAGGTGGATACGCAAAAAACCCTTGACAAATGGAGGCCCTCGCTTGCTGACAGGTCCTGCAGCTCACCCCCCCCGCCCTTCCCCCGGCCCCCGACTCACCCTTGTAATCCTCGTCGGTCTTCAGGCCGCCCCAGCCCTTGAGCAGGGCCGTGTGGCTGTTGAGCGAGGAATAGCTCTCCTTGCCGGAGGTGGAGGTGCCGCCCGAGATCAGGCTCAATTTGTCGTCCAGGCTCAGCTCTGACACGTTGTCGGGCAGGAGCACGTCGTCCTTGCCCAGGCCCAGGCGGTGCCGGGCGACCACGATCTCAGGGTCCTCCACCGCGCCCGCGCCGCCGCTGGCCTGCAGCTGGCGCAGCACGTCCACGATCCCGGTGGTCAGCCGCCGCATCTGAACAGGGTTCATGGACTCGGCGTCGCCCGCGGGCTTGGGGTCGCCACTCTCCAGGTCGGCGATGGTGGCCACGCTGTCACCGCGCTGGCCGATGGCAGAGCCGCCCGCTCCGCTTGGCAACACGCCTGGGGGGGAAGGGAGGGGGGCGAGGGGGTTCAGGAGGGGAAGCGATCGGTGAGCTGGACCACTGGGAGTGGGCTGAGCCAGCTGCTGGCACCAAGGCGGCGCAGATGACTATCAGCAGGGCCGCTGGTCGTGAGTCTTGAAGGGACAGGACAATCTCGCCACCCTCTTAGCCGCGCTAATGGCCGGGGCAGTGACTGCAACCTCCCCCTCGCCAACACCGCGGGAATCCCCTCCCCCCCAAACCCAGCCCTTCCTCACTCTTGCTAGACATCTGGTCAAACATCTCCATCAGGTTGTTGGTCATACGCCTCAGGCTCCCCTGAAACTCCCCAGTGTGCGGGTGGGGAGGGGGGAGGCCCGGGGTGCCCGGGCCATGGCCCAGCGACGAGGGCGCGGGGGAGGCGCCCGCGCTGCTGTCGGGGCGCAGGGGCGTCTGGCCCTGGGCAAAGGGCGTGTCGGGGGCCATGCCCGCCGCGGCACCAGCGCGGCGATCGGGGGAGCCGTACCGCCCGTCCTGGCTCCCGTCGGGGGTGGAGGAGGTTCCTGTGGCTCCCATGCCTGTGGTCCTGGGTATCTACTGGGCCCAGGGGCCGGCCGTCGCTCGGCCAAGATCTGCGACATGGAGGGTGCGATGGGATTCGATTTGAGGGATGCATGGCTCGAGCTGGAGCTCGGGGAGGCGGAACGCGCAGGGACTCGATCGGGCAGCGGGGCTGCACGACCGCCTGTCGTCTGGGGGCCGACATGATGGACTGCCAGCATAACCGCCGACGCGGCGCAACCCGTACTGTCATCCACACCTCACACCTATGGGGAGCTTTCTAGGGCCAAGGAGAGGCCCACAGGGGGCCGTTGTGCACAGCGGCGGGTCGGCGCACGGTTGCTAGTGACCCGTATCAACGTCCGAGGACTGGCCCCGGAGCCTCGTAGAGGGCTGCAGACGGCGCGTTGGACGAACACAGGGCCCTATCTCTTCACTCAGGAATTGGAAACAGCTCTCGGAGGGGATCCTTTGCTGCCGAATTCGCTGACTCGGCTGCAACCGTCGGCAAGGGGTGCACCCGCAGCTGTGCAGATCTTAGCGCGGGGGGGGGGCTGGTATAGCGCGAACGGAGCCTCGGAGCCTGGGGTTGGAAGCCAGACACCTTCTACAATGCGATAACGTAGGAACAGCACGCGTCGACCTACATGTGCCACTCCCATGATTGCACCGTCCAAGACCCATCAACAGTTTCCTGGTTTCTATTCGACGGTTGAGCTACCCCTCTGGTGAGGACCTGTGCGCGAAGCAGGGCGAAGCCCAGGATGCCCCATCCCCAGGGACGACGAGGCCAGCATAGCTTTTATAGGACCCAATTCTATATCGAGGTAGTTCCGGGGCCAAGCGAACACATTGTTGTCCCTCGCTCGCTCTGTCCTGAGGGCACTCGTACAGATTCTGGTGGCTTCGGAATGGATACACATCGCATAATGACATTGTCGGCTCCATCTCCGACTGTAAACTTAAAGGGACATCCATGCCCCATCGAAAGCCTGCTATCTGTAGTGTGAAAGTTGTGCATGTCGAGATGAGGCCATGCCGCCTACAAACCTAGTCACAGCTCGTTTCTGAAAGTGGCTCGACATGAAAGGAGATCATGCATGCCAGCAGCGATGCTGGATGGTGAATTCATGGAATGAATCTACATAGGATCCGGGGCCTTACGGTGCGACGGTGCCCTTCGCGGGCCCTCTGATGGTGTGCAGTCCGTATGGCGCGCCCATCGTAAGGCTACGCTCGCTCACACAGATCCCCCTCGGAGTGTTGCGCCCCGTCGCATACACCATGTATGATAAAAAGGGCCGCATTGAAAGGCATCCTCGAAATGTTGTCACGAAAGAGCGAGGCAGGCCTCCAGGGCGCCTGGCTCCATCCTTATCCACGCCGCGCTCCACCCTTGGCTGGCCATACGGTGAGGAACACAGCACCGCACCCCAACATGACCGATTTGCAAGGGTGACTCAATATGAGATGTGGTGGGGATCTACAAGGCAATCGCTTCACGGCCTGGGTGGGTGCCGCACCCACGCTGGCGCCACAGCTGGCGCTATTACCGTCGCCGCCACTCCCGTCACCGGCGCTCTGGCCCTTGGCGCCCCTGCCGCCACGGCCCCTGGCCCTGCGCACAATACGGAGCTCCTGAAATAAACCCGCACACTCCGCGTCCATGCGCTTGTTGATCGCAACCCTCCTCTCTATTTTCTCCAGCTTCTTCCTCGCCCACTCGGCCCTTCGGTACTCCCTCGTCCTCTCTCGGGCGGCCTCATACAGCGCGACAGCCTGTGCACCGACAGGAGAGGCACGAGGTTGGCGTGTTGGTGTTGCAGCACAGGCACAGGCCTCTACCACAGACCCGTGCCACACCATGTTAACAGACTGCGGAACCACCACCAGGGAGAGCACCACAAAGTCACATCCACATCAGCCCCCAGACTCACCCTGGTATTGTTCCCTTGCTTTGGCAAGTTAACGCCAGTCTGCTTGCCAGGTGCATCGGCAGGCGGCGGAGGCACGCCCATGGCAGCTGCTCCCGGCCCAGTCGCGGCGACCTGCGTGGCCTCCTGCAATGCCAGCAGCTTGCACATCAGCGGCACCTACAAATGCGGGTACCATGCCCACGGATCTGTGGTGTTCTTCCTCGCCAACTGATCCTGTCAAGTGGCCTTGTGTCATCCAGACCCAGATGTCACACACATCACGAAAATAAAACCATCTCATCATGTACCCCCAATGCGGCCACAGGTGATCACCCTCCTTAATCCGCATCGAATCACCTGGCTGGAGGCGGCAGTTGGTCGCGGCGTGGAGGGCCCGTAGTCAAGCGCCAGCCCCGGAGGAAATGCCGCCGCGACGCCGTAAGGGGCACCATAGGTGCCGTTGAGGGACAGGGTATGTGCACCAGAGCCACTGCAAAGAATGGGCGGGGTGAAGAGAGCGACATGGCTGGCAACAGATACAAGGGATTGCACCCAGACAATTGTTCTACTCATCCCACCATCCTAACAGTTGGGCGTCCTGATGATGTCAGCGGTGAACCACACTACCTTCCCGAGGACAGCGGCACACTCTACCATACACCCCCTCACCTTCGGATTCCTGTGGCAGCAGCAGCTGCCTCCAGTCGGCCGCCTCTGGGAGGTGCTGCGTCCACAGCAGATTACGCTTGGCCGGAACATGCATTTCCTCGTAGTTGGGCAGGTCCGGGACCTGTTCCTTGCACGCTCTTGTGGCTTTTTACTGGACTTTGGTCCACCCTGTCCCCTGTGACGGGTCCCAGTCGTTCGGCCCCAGCCCCTTGTTGCCAGGTAGCTTCCTGTGGCAGGTAGGGGTCCTGATGCGGAGCCACCACATCCATGAAAGGGACAGACTACCGAGGTGTGGGCGAATGCCAGGACTTCACACACACAACACACTGTCACCGGCTCCCGACCAGGATCCCCACGAGACACCACCAGTCTCCTCAGTCAGTAATTCAATCTGTGTGCTCTGGGTACTCACGATGACGTGGCGCGTCTGGGTCTGATGTGGGCGGAGTCTCGGCAGAAGACGGGCTTTGACGCGTACTTGCCCCACACGACTCTCTACTGTGGGATGATAAATTCGATATAGGCGTCGGAACGACAGGTAGGTGGTCGCGTAAAGAGTGAAAATACTCCCACGCCGAGCAAAAATGGGTAGAAGAGTCCGTCCCCAAATCTCCATGCTCACCTTGACAATTGCTCAATAGCATCGAACAAGGCCACTACCCTTGATGTCCTTCTTCAGACCGTCCTGTAATGATAATAGGCAGCTTGTTCATCGAGAAAGGGGTGGGCACCATGCCGACAGCCTTATGGACAGGTCGGGTCCCCTTCGGAGTCGGTGCTGACCTGTCCTGCCTGGGCAGCAGTCAAACCTGGTTCGACCAGGCACTGACGATCATGAAAGTCCACCACATCAATACCATGGTCTCACTGAGCCATTTCGAATGTATACCATCGACTTTGAGACGGGGACGAACACCAGAGGATGCGATTCTTGGAACCGGTGGCGGAAGACGTCGGGATCTGGGCACAGCAGCAGCTTAAAGGAGGGTGTGTGGGGGGTGGGAAGGGGGTGATATGTACGTGATTATTTTGCTACCTCAACTGAAGCACAAGAACGACGGGGGGGAGAAATGAAATGCGCAGAAGTGGAGGCGGTGCCGGATTCAGTAGTTGGGGTTCAGGGGATCCCCACTTTACAGAGGACCCCTCACAGTGCCGTTGGTGTCCGAAGAGTACCCACCCATTCTGGAAACCTCCTTCCCAAGGAGGAATTGGTATCAAGGTCGTCCCTGGGGTGGTCGCAGGATGGGCTGTCGTCATCCCCAGGGTGCAGCTGCCCAGCTGGGTGCCCTACGTCAACCAACTGAGGTCTGACATCCTCGCCCGGGGCCCTGCATCTCTTACTCATGCTGTGATCCACAGAGCTTCCTCAGCTGGGGCAGATCGGCTTGCATCGGGGCATGGCACAGTCGACCCAAGACGGGGGGAGGTTGAGTGCTCTTGGCCAGGGAGCAGCCGGGAATGACGCCGGGGGAAAGGGCACCTGGAAAGCGCAACCCCGAAGGTGGGCGAGGGATATTCCTGGGCGGGGGAGCGCCCGCGTCGACCCCGCACGCCGCAAAGCTACTTCTGGGGCGGTGCGCAGCCTCGGAACTTCAGACTCCGGGCACGGCCACGCCGTCGGGGCCCGGGTCGGGCACGCCCGCCAGCTGGCGCTGCGCCGCAAAGCTACTTCTGGGGCGGTGCGCAGCCTCGGAACTTCAGACTCCGGGCACGGCCACGCCGTCGGGGCCCGGGTCGGGCACGCCCGCCAGCTGGCGCTGCGTCGGGCCGGCGCCCGTCCAGCTGCCGCTGC